CTAACAAGCTAGTTTGAACTATCGGTGTATCTGTCACCGCATTTGATTTACCTTGTAGGTTGAGACAAGTAGGGTGTCCTATTCCATTGGCTTGGAGATTAGTTTATCCATCCAACAGGCGCAGGGTCCTCCAAAGCGCGGAATCCATGCTGTGTCCTAGCCGTTAGCGGGACCGAATGCATCCTTCTGGGGTGATGGGGATGGGAATGGGTGGGGGTGCTTTGAGCGCTGTCGTCATCACCACCAGGCGGTGGGTCTCAGTCCGTACGGCGAACATTTTCAGCCAGGTGGGTATCAATCACGCCCGCCGCGTGTCTTGGGCACCGCACACCACGGACAAGAAGCAGGGGGCCTTCGCCAAGCTTGCGAGGTCGAACTTCAACGACCCCACCCCACAGAATTTTTCACCGGAACCTTACTTCGAACAGGAGATGGAAGCCTATCGCGCACATCATCGCCCAGACATTCCTATTTACAAGTTTAGCGTATCGGCAACACCCATGTCCCTTCGGGAGTAGCAGAAGCCTCCGTTCCCCGTGCAAAATGGGTCTTCACGTTTAAATCCCCAACCCGGACTGGGTGGGGGGTTCTTGTTCGGTTAGGGTGGACCTCTGGACGCCACATGACAAACCTGAATAGATCCGATCGTTTTTACAAAACCAAATACTGATGCACCCTCATTTGTGTACATAGTCGCAACTCAACTGATTACTCCCGCGTCTAGGGGTCCCATGGCGGAAAGACATCTTTATTTGTAACTGTAAGGTTTTGATAGGGTGGATGGAATGGGGCGAAGTTGAGGGCCCAAGGTTTAGCATTATTGATAGGTTTTAAAGAAAGGGATGCTCTCGTTTAAAATACGAATAGCGTCCTTTAAGCCCGATTAATAGTGGAAAAGCGAGTTGACAAGGAAAAGTGAATTGCAATAAGCAGTTTATTCTGCAAACATTAAGCCATCGAGGCCTTTTCCAGCAAGCTGAGGACCTTCGAAAGCTTACCTTGGAATACAGCAATGGCAGGGTTTGTGTCATTTTTGTTTGACTTTTTGTGGAAACTTTCAACCCCCCAACCGTAAATATATTTCGATCCCCATATTTTGTTTTCCTAACAATATGGCTCTTGAATGTTTTTTGATGGTGCAAGCACTTCTATTTTAGAAGATTAGTATTATTCAGGATTTTTTAGGGTTAGGGTTAGGGTTAGGGTTAGGGTTAGGGTTAGGGTTAGGGTTAGGG